GGGGGGTTGTCTTTGCTTTTTTTTTGCTTTGCTTTTTTTCTTTTTTTTCTTTTTTTTTTTTTTTTAATGTTGCTTTGTTGGGTTTTTTCTTTTAGTAATCTGGGTTTCTTTTCGATACCCACACGTGGTGTAATGTATTTGATTTCTTCCACTTCCATAGATTTGCTGTCTTAGACCACGCTCTGTCATGGCTGCGTGGATGGTTGGCTGGTGCTCTGGTGTGGTTTGCTTCTTCTTTCCTATCAAACATCTATCGCCTTTATCTCCCCTCCTTCTTTTTTGTGTGTGTTACTCTCTTGTAACACCTATAATCTTCGGCATTTATATGACCTTATTGTGTTGCAAGTGCCGTGAAACTCTTACTAAAACTGCACTGGCTGCTTCTCTTCACTCAGCACTTTAAAAAAAAAAACTTTGCTTTGAAGCCGTGATATACAGCACTATTATTGATGTGCTCCAAAGTGAATTGTTAGCGCGTTCTCTGGTGTGTTTTGCTACTTCTTTCCAATCAAACATAATATATCGTCCTTTTCTCGCCTCCTACTTTTTTGTGTTTGTTACTCTTTTGTAAGACCTCTGATCTTCGGATCTTATCCCAATTGTGTTGCAACTGCCGTAAAACTCGTACTAAAACAAAACAAGACAAAAACAAATAAACAAATAAACAAACAAATAAACAAACAAATAAACAAACAAATAAACAAACAAACAAACAAAAAAACATAAGTAATTGATATGTTTTGGCTATTTGCGTTACCGTGGCAAGCTTATTGCATACATACTAAACCAAAGAGATATACATGTAATTGGATCAGTCACAGAATAGCGTTGTTAATGTGTGTATGTCTCTTTTTAGTTTTAGTTTTAGTAGAGGTTTTACGGCGCTTGCAACTGCATAAGGCCATATGAGCGCCAGAAGATTAGAGGTGTTGCAAGAGAGTAACAAACATAAAAAAGAAGAAGGGGAGATAAGGACGTTAGATGTTTCATAGGAAAGAAGATATGTCTCTTTAAAAAACAACAACAAGAACTTCAAGATCAAAACGTACTTTTGTGGGTGGCTGGCGGGTACGTGCTCTGGTGTGGTTTGCTCCTTCTTTCCTATCTTACATCAAACGTCCTAATCACTCCTCCTTCTTTTTTGTGTTTGTTACTCTCTTGCAACACCTCTAAATCTTCGGCACTTATATGACCCTATTGTGTTGCAAGTGCCGTAAAACTCTTTAAAAAATAAAAAACAAAAAACAAACAAAACGTACTTTTGCCTGAAGGTCTTGTCCAAAATCGAAAACACACACACATAATATCGTAAACCTCTGTCTACCGGACTGAGTTCTGTCCCAGCTATTTCGTAGATCGCTGTTGTCCGCCACTTTCGCGAGAAATCCGAACAACCTAATAATGAGCGCGTGGAATGCCGTCACATGTCAAAACACAGGGCGTGAGTGGGGACCATTAATCCAATTGTAAAGCCACAGTGGGCCATAGCACTGACCACTGTCCGAACACAGACACGTCTATGTTAATGGCTGTTATTTCTACGACCTGTTCGCCGACATTTCACTACACCAGACGTACAAAGCTCTATCTGCTCCGTACCTAGTTTGGAGAAATTTGACGTCGAAAATTATTTTGAATTTTACAACATATCAAGCTTTTTGGAATGCAATTCTTTGCATATCTTGATAACGACTCCGAAAAATATTACGATTTTGATAGAGCAGGTAGAACATTTGGTTTCGGACCTCATGGTTTTAGTAACTCAAAACGGCCAAAAGTATCAGATAGGACTTTGTAATTCTGAGGTAGCGATTTATTTCACGCGATGTTGGCTATGTAAGTGCTGTCATCTACATTCTTGTCAATAGAACGTCACCTCGTTAACTCCGTCGCAAATGTGTTATATAGTCGTTGGTGTTTTTCAGATGATTTTGTTTGATTTGAATTATTCTTGATGACATTTCAAGTTATTTTACCGTGTCTAAGACATTTTTTTTAAATTAGGGCTGGTGGGGGTAGGGGAGGTGATAACGGTAAGAAATATTTACAGGTTTGTTTATTTTAAGTGCATGTGGTGATTGTTTTGTTTTTATGTTTGTTTGTCTGTTTTTTGTTGTTGCTGTTGTTTTTGGGGGGTTGTGTGTTTATTTATCTATTTTCGGCTAGAAGAAGATGTCCATGACAAAAGAAAGAAAGAAAAAAGAAAGAAAGAAAGAAAAAAGAGAAAGAAAGAAAGAAAAAGAAAGGGAAAAAAGAAAGAGAAAGAAAGAAAGAAAGAAAAAGAAAGA